GAAGAACTCTAATTTGTTTTGTTTGTTTACAGCATTGTTGACTCTCTGTTAAGTAAAAAATTCCCAAATCAATCCGTTAAAAGGAAATATTTATAACATATCCAATCATCTTCAATAAAAGGTTAGAATTTGGTTGTGTAAAGCACATTAGTGTAATATTCGGTATAAATCAGACGTAAGAGATTCGAGGAGTTTATTTCGGGGAGTAAATATAGGTATGTAGTCCGTATCCACAGGAGGAATAAAGGGGTGACCTGGCTATGGTCGACATCTCTATTAAGCCTATACAACAAAGCAAATTCAAAACTCTTAAAATCCCCAGGACAATGAGTTCTTCCGAGTAGACATAAAGGAGACAAATAAAAGCCTATCTGTAAATGCTTACACCAAGAATCACCCTAAGTACGTCGTTATTTTCTCATGAAATCAGCCTAAGTTCCAATCCTCGGAGAATATATGAGCTTTTTAATTGTTTTTGATTTTTTTATGAGACATGTCAATTGATTAAAATTTGTATAAAAAGAAAAAATTGAAATAAGGAATGAGGGCTCTAGTTTTAACTATACAAGTAAGAAAATATATTTTTACCAATAATTTTAATTATTTTTGCATCATAAAATATATATATTGTCAATAGTATTTATCCGCTTTACCTCATAAATGTTTAAAAAAAAAATCATCTCAAAATTATATTATTTCAATAAATTCACACTGAAAAAATTAAAATACTTATTTTTAAAGTATGAATTAAAATATTTTTTTAATCATTTTTTGTAATATTTTATTAAAATTACGTAATTTTAAAATAATTTTTTCATAATTTTTACTAGATAAGATGGATAAATATTAATCCTATATATATTTGATTTGTTAAGTTTCTTAAGGAACTTAGAGTTGATCCTAGTCTAACATTAATTTAAGAAAATTAGAAAAAAGTCCAACACTAAGAGCGTGGACATTCCTCAATCTTCTTATTCTTTAATTCTTATATTGATGTTGATTTAATGCATCTCTCCTTTGTAGATTGAATAATTCCTTTCCGGAACTTTCTTAATTAAACAAAATGTTATTTTGGAAATTTCAAGTTCAATTCCTTTATCTCCAAGATGAGCCACTATTCATATATATAGTTATATATCTTTAGACATTAAAAGTTAAAGACTTGAAATAATTTAAAATTTTTAACTTTAAAATCAAAATTTTTTTTAGATAAATAAAATTAACTTTTAAGTTACTAATACAAATTCAATTAAATAATTGTTGATAGTGCAATCATACTAGTTATAGGTTTAATTATCACGAGTCAAGGATCGTACAAATCATATCAAATCTAGATTTACTGGAATAAGATTGACAGTTTCCATATCTAAATTGCCATTAGTTAATTTTTGTGTGCTTTTAATTTTTGGGAGTTAGAATACCTTCAAATCATGCATGGCATGCATTTCGTGTGGTCGTTTAAAGGACAATTAACTAAATAAAAGTGAGAGATATCACGATTACTTTGTATAAAAGTCTTTAAATTGGATCAAACAAGGAATAAGGAAGGATAATATTCTTGTAA